GTGGAGTCCATTCTGACCCACAGCGCCCCTAGAGGACAGAGTGGAACTGCCCACAGGGTCTCCAAGGCTGTCAGTCTTCATGGAAGCCGACTGCCGCCTCTGTTTCCCACAGTGGAGACACAGTAGAGTAGAAAAATAAAATCCTTCAAGAAAACCACAAACAGCTTGGTGCCCGTCCCTCAGAGGCTGGGATAGATGAGGAGACCGGCAGAGCATGAAAGGTGGGTTCCGGGGAGACAAGAGTGACAGCTCGGGCCCCGGGGGTCGCACGTGAGGAGGGTGACAGCTCGGGCCCCGGGGGTCGCACGTGAGGAGGGTGAGAGCTCGGGCCCCGGGGGGTGCCGGGGAGTCGGGAACACGCCGTGTGGCAAAGCTTGCTCTCTGGCCTGTCTTGGCTCTCCTTCGGGATGCCTTACTCTCTCCCTGGCAGTTTGGGGTCAGGGTAGAATCCAGCATCAGTTAGGGAGGAATGAAGGAGTGTGCCCCTTCTCTGGATGTGTCCACCCCCACACGTGGGGGGACCCACCACAGGACCCATCCACTGCCCAGGACCCTGCTGCAGCCCAAAGCCAGAATTTCCCTGAGAGGAGAAGGGGGTGACACGGGGCACAACGAGCCGTCTCTGGGTGCCTGCTTCCTGCAGGATGCGGGCTGGCCACACAGGTCCAGGAGGGCTGGTGGCGGGGCCCCATCACAGGGAAAGGGTCAGGGGGAGAGGGCAGAAGGCCTCAGGAAACCTCCGCTCCACCTGCAAGATGGCATCCACGGTCCCTCTGAAGGAGGCGGGGAGGAGGACAAGGGCCTTTGTGTTTTGTTCCTTCATAAACGTCTGGGACGAACACTGACATTTGTGAGCCATGACGTCTGTCTGGGCGGGGCTGTCTGGGTTCACAGTCCTCGTCTCTGAGATGGACTTTTTCAGAATCAGTTTAAAGAAATAACTACGTGTGAATATCACAGTGTGCTGTGGCCATGATAACGGGAAGCGTTAAACCAGAGCTTACGTTATCCATCAGATGGTTAGACGAGGGCTGGCCGGGATAGACGTCGTGGCGCCTGGTGACTCGGTAAAGTGCTTTCGGGACCCGGAGCAGAGGTGACGCGCTGACTGGGCTCAGCCTGTTGGTTGAGCGTGTGCTCTGGTGAGACCTCTGCCGGCTGGCACTGCAGGGCCACAGGCTGCCAGTCCCGCTCAGCTGCCGGGCGGGGCCGTTCTCTGCCGCGTCTTCCCTGCCCTGTCTCAGCTGTGGTTTATTTTGGATGACAGAGAGGTTTATTTCTTGTGGGTTTATTTTTATCGTGATCTGGGTGACTCGGTCGTGCTCGGAAAGCTTCTCGCCTGGCTTCCTCCACATTCTCCTTGGGAGGCTCTGGTGGGGTGCGTCACTTACAGTGGGACTTGGGGGTGGGGCACTGCAGCAGGACCCCTCTGTGCTATCTGTGCCTCCTGCTTGGGGCTGCCTACCAGGGGGCGACGGCACCCAGAAAACACTGTCATTGGATGCAGGGGCCTTAGGGCCGTGGTCGGTGGCCGTCGCTCTGTCCTGCTGCCAGACACGGGGTTCTTTGCAGAAAGGGCCCTGACCCACAGGTGTGGCTCCCACTTACTGCAGCAGCGTCTCCGTCGTGTTACTGGTTGAGAGGGAAGTCCCCCGTGGTGACCGTGGCTTCCTCCTGGGAAGTGGTGAACTCACAGCCCTTGCTTGTTGCAGTGTGGCAGTCGGCCAGACGTCCCCACGTTGGCTCACAGGGTGCCACTTGAGAGCACCTCTCGGAGCCAGGGTGAGCCGAGGGGAGCAGACTCGGTGTTTGCCACGGGAGCCTAGGCCGCGCACTGGGGCCTCGCGGCAGGATGGCAGGGCTCCTGCTCACGCTGGGCTCACATGGACTCAGGGTGGGCGGGGCGTCCAGGGCCCACCCCCAGCCTGTCACCCGGCTCACGTGGATGCTCCTCACCTCAGTGGACTTGGGGTGGATGGGTCGCCCATACCCCAACCCCCAGCCTGTCACCCAGCTCATGTGGACACGCCTCACTCCTGTGAACACAGGGTGGACCGGGCACCCGTGCTGCACCCCCAGCCTGTCACCCAGCTCACGTGGACATGCCTCACTCCTGTGAACACGAGGTGGACAGGGCGCCCGTGCTGCACCCCCACCCCCAGGCTCCCCTGCGTAGCACACAGCAGACTCAGCCCCCTCATGTGTCCCAGAACTGTGCTTCCTTTCTGTGGGAGTCACGTGGTGGTGGTAGGGCCGTCCAGCCTGCCAGGGCCAGCTCCAGCAGGCCACCCTTGGTACCAGAGCTCCTGTACTCAGTCCCGGAGGAGGGGAGGACTGTGGGCAGGGCACCTAGATGTGTGCAGGTCAGCAGGTCCCGGCTGTTGGACCACTCAGTTCCTGAGTGTAGTGTCCTCTAAGGCTGTATACTGGGTCAACACCCAGACCTGGTCATGAGGCGTGGACAGCTCAGGCGCCAGCTTGGTGAGCGGGCGCGCATGGCTGGCAGCGGCCTGCGGTGGAGCAGGTGGCACTGGGCTTGGCTGGGCAGTTCCAGCCTGACGCTCTGCCTCTGTCCACAGGTGACCTGAGTGTCTCGGCTGAGCGCCTGACTGAGAAACGATCCCCCAGCGACTTCGCCCTGTGGAAGGCCTCCAAGCCCGGAGAGCCGTCCTGGCCGAGCCCCTGGGGAAGGGTGAGTAGGTGTGGTCAGGGCCCCTCATCCCGTGACGGGCGGCAGCCCCCACTGCCGGGTCTGGGTGCACGGCTTCTGGGGCTTTTTCTCAGAGGCTCTGGGCCCTGGGCGCTCCCCTTGCCCTGGTCCCGTCCGCAGTGGGGCTGCTGTCAGATCCACTCCCCTGAGGCCAGCTCCACATTCGGGGTTGATGCTGTGAGCCCCGGAGGGGTGGGTGCTGGCGTCTGCTTCTGCTGCTTTGGGGGCCGAGTTGGGGACCGCACGCTTTGCCCGAGCCTTGGCTGCGTGGCGCTGGCTTTCAACTTTCACAATGAGGGGCTTCATCGTTGTCCCGCCGGCGGAGTGAGTGCTGCACCTGTCGTAAAGCTTGGGGTTCAGGGGTCTGCGATCTTGGGGTCAGTGGGGGGTTTTAGCCAACCAGTAACAGCTCACCCGCCTCCAGGGCCGCCCAGGCTGGCATATTGAATGCTCTGCCATGGCGGGTGCCCTGCTGGGGGCCTCGATGGACATCCATGGCGGTGGCTTCGACCTCCGGTTCCCACACCATGACAATGAACTGGCCCAGTCCGAGGTGAGGGCAGGGCGGGGGGCGAGCTGGCCCGGTCCCAGGTGGGGAGACTGTGGCCCTGGGGAGTGAGGGGTCAGTCACTATAGCCTTGGGGGAGGGAGAAGCTGACTTCTCTGGTGGGGTCCATCAGGGGGGTCAGCTGAAGCTCCCGTTGGTGCAGCCTGGCCCCGGGGAGCAGGAGGCAGGACATGGGCCTGTCGGCCGCTCGCTGCTCCCAGGCCTGGCAGCCCCCCAGCCTGGTGCCCAGGGAGTGAGCCCCTGCATGTGCGGTACAAGCCAGAGGGTGTAGTGCCCCAGCGAGCACCTTGACCCTTGACCCCTGCACAGGCCCACTTTGAAAACGACTGTTGGGTCAGGTACTTCCTGCACACAGGCCACTTAACCATCGCAGGCTGCAAGATGTCAAAGTCGTTGAAGAATTTCATCACCATCCAAGATGCCTTAAGGAAGCATTCCGGTAGGCACCGGCTCTGAGCAAGGACATGACCCCCGTCCTCCGTGAGCTCACAGCATTGACCGTTGAGGTTAGGGGAGGGGGTCAAGGAGTGGTGGGCCCCGGCTCTGAGCGAGGACACACGCTCCTCCGTTCCCCATGAGGTCACAGCAATTGTCAGGGGAAGGGGTCGGGAGTGGTAGGCACCAGCTCTAAGTAAGGACACACTCCCTGTCCCCCGTGAGATCACAGTGGTTGTCTGGGGAGGGGGTAAGGGAGTGGTGGGCACAGGTTCTGAGTGAGGACACACTCCTCTCCGTCCCCCATAAGGTCACAGTGCTTGTCAGGGGAGGGGTCAGGGAATGGTAGACCCCAGCTCTGGGCGGGGACAGACGCCCCTCCATCCCCCGTGAGGTCACAGTGCTTGTCAGGGGAGGGGCTCAGGGAGTGGTAGGCCCGGGCTCTGAGTGAGGACAGATGCCCCTCCGTCCCCCGTGAGGTTACAGCATTGTCAGGGGAGGGGTCAGGGAATGGTAGACCCTGGCTTTGGGCGGGGACAGATGCCCCTCCGTACCCCGTGAGGTCACAGTGTCGTCAGGGGAGTGATGGGTTATTGCGTCTCTCCCAGCACGACAGTTGCGGCTGGCCTTCCTCATGCATGCCTGGAAGGACACGCTCGACTATTCCAGCAACACCATGGAGTCAGCCCTTCAGTACGAGAAGTTCATGAACGTGAGTCCTTCCTGGGCTGGGCGGGGAGGCTGGCTGCTCTCTGAGTATGCAGAAGCAGCTCTTCTCTGAGAGTGTTGCTGGGGAGCCTGAGGCCTGAGCAGGGGACTTGTGTCCTACTGAGAGAGAACTGAAGGGGAGAGATGAGATGGCCACACAAACCAAGTGTGTTAGAGGACGGGAGGGGCTCACCGGGGAGATGGAGGGCTTCCACCTGCCCCAGCCTCTGGTCTCTCTCTGAACAAGTGTCCCTAAGGTTTATAAAGGGTCCTCGGCAGGAGAGGCAGCATCTTTATTCAGGAAACGGGCGGGGTTCTGAGGTTCAGGCTACACATGCGTGATGTCTCCGGACCCCAGTGTGAGCCCCAGTAAGGGAGCCTTGTTCTCGCCTGCCTCTGTGGAAGGTCCCGTTGTGGGTCACGTGGGCCCTTACCAAGCCTGCTCCACACCTGGGAGGCGCCTCACGAGAGACTCACAGAAACAGCCCAGAGGCTGGTCAGCATTTTGTAACTGTCAAGCTTAGGGTCCTTTCATTTGCAGCCTCTTTATCTTGCCCAAGCCCCTGGCTTGCCAACTCATCAGTTCACTGATGCCAGTGGCCAGAATGGCGTGGTGGTCTACACGGAGGCTGGAATTTCAAGGGCACTGAGTCAGGCCCATTTGGCCTCCTGGCCCGGCTGCCTGCCTGTCTCAGGAGGAGCGGTCGCAGAGCCGCGAGGCTGTGACATGTGCTGCCGGCAGAGCCCGGCGTCCCCCCTGCTGCCGAGAGGTGGCTCCTGCCGCTTGTAGCGCTGGCCGAGCTCTCAGGCTGAGCTTGGAGCAGCTTCCGTCTCGAGGTGGAACCTTGCCGTCCTCCCAGCCCCTCTCTGGTGTGACATGGCCACACGGGGCGTCTGCAGCTTTCCCTGCAAGACAGCCACACCAGCAGAGCCGCCCTGAGCTGGTTCTCATGGACAAAAAGTCGCCTGAATGGGGTTTCTGACCTTAGGAGTTCTTCTTGAACGTGAAGGACATTCTCCGGGCCCCTGTGGATGTGACAGGGCAGTTTGTAAAGTGGGAAGAGGAAGAGGCTGAACTGAATAAAAAGTAAGGTTCTTTGTTCTTGGGGGTGTCATGCCTATGCCACAAGTCACTGCCCCCAGCACACTGCTTTCTGGGGTGGGAGCAGGGGCATGCCACACCTGTGTTTGACAAGATCTACGAGGATGGGGGCACCACACCTGTGTTAGGCAGGATCTGAGGGAGTGGGGGCACCCACACACGTTTGACGTGGCTGTGAGTGGACTAGCGGGCACTGGTCAGAAACTGGAATGGGAAGTGGGGGCGGTTGCCCGGCACGTGAACACAGTCCGTGTCAGAGTCACACGTGAAAATGCTGAGGTGGGAAATATGACGTCCGCGTTGACCACAAAATAAGCAGCCTGCCCACAGAGTGTTCCCGTCTGCCACCTGTGTCGCCGTGCGAGGCTGAGCCTGACTGCTCTCCCTCCTCCTGCTCCACCAGCTTCTACGACAGGAAGGCCGCCGTCCACGAGGCGCTCTGTGACAACGTGGACACCCGCACTGTCCTGGAGGAGATGCGGGCGCTGGTCAACCAGTGCAACCTCTACATGGCGTCCAGGAAGGCGGCCCGCAGGCGGCCCAACCGCACCCTGCTGGGGAGCGTCACCCTCTACCTCACCCACATGCTCAAGGTCAGGGCCCCAGGCAGCCGTGGGCAGGGTGTCCCCACATGCTGCTCCACATGGTCAAGAAGAGGGCCCCAGGCAACAGGTCAGGGTGTCCCCCACATGCTCAAGGGGAGGCCGAGGTGCCCAGGCCTCAGACAGCTGCAGTCAGGGTGTCCCCCACATGGTGAAGGTGAGGCGCCAGGGCCCCAGACGGCCGCAGTCAAGGCGTCCCCCACATGGTGAAGGTGAGGCGCCAGGGCCCCAGATGGCCACAGTCAGGGTGTCTCCCATATGGTGAAGGTGAGGCCCAGGGCCCCAGATGGCCGCAGTCAGAGTGTCACCCACATGGTGAAGGTGAGGCGCCAGGGCCCCAGACGGCCGCAGTCAGGGTGAGCCCAGGCAGACCTGATCCCGGCCTCAAGGGGAGCAGCAAGTGGCCTTGGGAGGCTGAGGCAGGCTCTGTGTCCTCAGTTCCTGCCGGGCGTCTTGTGGTTCAGGAACAAGATGTACATGGCTGGCCCCTCGGCCGAGGTTCTGCATTTTCCCGTCTGGGGGTCTGAAGGCGACACAGGAGTGAGACCTGAGCCTGTGCTTTGCAGACTCCCTGAACCCACTGCCGCCAGCGCTGCAGGGCCAGGCGGGAGGTCAGGACAGCCGGCTTGTCTGCTCGGGGCTCCGCGAGCAGCTCTGCACCTGGGCTTGTCCTGGGGCAGGAGAGGGCCGAGCAGCCACCCTCTGGCCCAGGTCCCAGGCCCAGAGCTGCCTGTCCACCTCGCACTGCCATGCCCACGCTTGGGGCAGCAGCACAGTGTGTGGGCCTAGTCACAGGGTGTCATCTTAGTGCTCGAGGTCCTGTGATCTGAGTCCTGCTCTTCCTCTCCCTAGATCTTTGGGGCCATCGAAGAAGACAGCGCTCTGGGCTTCCCAGTCGGAGAACGTGGGGCCGGTGTAGATGTGAGTACAATTGCCGGGGCCCCGGGAGGCCCTCCTGGGTCTAGGGTTGCTGTGCGTCCTCTGACCCCACAGTGTTCCACTGCCCAGGGGAAGTGGTCCTTCCATGTGGCCCTGCCGCCTTCTGCACCCCCTCCCCCATCCTCGTCCCGGGCTTCTCCCACCCTCTGGAGCCCTGCAGAATCTCATAGCCCGTGTCCACCCTGTGAATATTTGGGGACCAGCGTTGGGTCCCGCCTCCCTTGATGCAGACTGGCCTCTGCCGCAGCTCCTGGTGTATTATGAGTGGTCAGGTCAGCGGACCTGGGCCAGCAGCCTTCCCTTGACTCAGAGTGTCCTGCTACGTCATGTTCGATGCGCTGAGCCTCCTGCAGCCAGCCAGGCAGACATGTCTCTGCCCGTCCGTTGGTGCCAGACTCTCCCCTTGCTGCAGACTGACCCTGGTCAGCCTCACTGGAAGGCCCACGCATACCAAGCAGACGCACCCTGACGGGGGACACCCGCCATCCACCCTGCCCACAGGGCTGCAGCCCCGACTCCACCTGGCACTGCCTAGCGTCCACCCACCCAGCTGCTCTGGTGGGAGGAGCAGACCCTGGGCCTGTTGGGGAGGCACGCATGCTCCCTCCATGCCAGCTCCTCTGAGGTGTCGGCACGTGGGTGGTCAGTACTGTCAGCAGGGCTCCTGGGTGATGTGATGTCCACTTAGTACAAGCGCCCCTGAGCCTCTTGGACGCACCCCACCCCACCTCGTCAGAGGCCTCAGTTCAGGTAGAAAACACGTGAACACTTGCATGTCACTCTTCGCCTTGTCACACTTCACTTTCCTGTGTTTCTCAGACCCTTGTTGTTGTTGTTACGTGACGTTGAATCAGACCCGACTCATAGCGACCCCTCCTTGGGTTTCTGAGGGAGTATCACTGCAGAAGTAGATTGCCCCATCTTCCTTCTGAGGAGTGGCTGGTGGGTTTGAACCGCCAGCCTTCTGGTTAGCAGTCAAGTGCCTTAGCCACTATGCTACCAGAGACCCTAGGTTTTTACAAATGGAAGGCCTGTGGCCACCCTGGGGTGTTCAAGTTCAAGTCTACCGGTGCCATTGTTCCAACAGCACATGCTCACTGTGTCTCCATTTTGGTCACTTTCAGAATATTTCAAACTTTTTCATCATACTAACACATACTTCATACATTACTGAAAAAAACCCACTGCCATTGAGTTAGTTCTGACTCATAGCCACCCGCACTGCGTTGTAAGGCTGTCGATCTTTATGGAAGCAGACTGCCTCATTTTCTACCCGTGGAGCAGCTGGTGGGTGTGAACCCTCTGTGCCAGCATAGCTTCTTACATGGACTGCGGTATTGTGTGAACATAACTTTGTATGCACTGGGAACACAGACGTTCCCGTGACGTGCCGGGTCGCAGTGCTCAGCTCCGCTGCAGTGGTCTGGGGCCGGACCTGCAGCAACCCGAGGCCTGCCTGCATTCCTGTGATGTGCTGGGCTGCAGTATTCACTCTGTAGTAGCTGTAGTGGCCCGGGGCCTGCCAGCCTAACAACCGTCCAGCAGGAGCCTGTACGGGGAAAGAAGCTGAGGCCATCTGAGACCCCACCTCCCCAGACAAGGCGCTCCCAGGGGTGTCGCCCGCCAGCAGCACTGCTCACCAGGCCCGTGCTGCGTGGGTGCCGAGCGCTAGTGGTTCCCTAGGTAACCGACTCCTTCCTCCCCCAGCTTGAGGCCATGGTCATGCCGTACCTGCAGGCTCTGTCGGAGTTCAGGGAAGGGGTGCGGAAGGTCGCCAGAGAGAAGAAAGGTGAGAGCCGTCCCTCGGGTGAGACGCTTCCCGCAGGGGCTCGCTGACGGGGCTCTCCACCGGCACTCTTGATGCTGCAGCCACGTCAGTCTTGTTTGGGGGCCAGCACGCGCACTGTAGGGTGCTCGCTGCACCCTACACCCATCACATCCCCGCAGTCCACCCTTCTCCCTGCGGGGCAGAGTCACCCCAGCTGGACCAGGGACATGACTTCTCTCGAGTTAGGACGGCCAGGGGCCGGGGCCGGGGGTGTGCCGTGAGTGCTCAGGGCTCCACTGGACTTGGCATGAGGAGCTGTCTGCCTCGTTGCCTCGCCCCTGCTGAGCACTTGCAGTGGGCACTTGTCAGCTACTTGGGGACACCCTGGGCTGGGCTTGTGGGAGCCACGCTGTGCCTGCTGGACAGCCGTGTTGATCAGACTCCCTCAGAGGGAACAGTATGACAGGCAGGGCCCTCCACAGCTGCCTGGTCCTAGTGTGTGTGTGGACTCTGGCAGTGGTGGGAGCCTAGAATGGGCCCAAGAACCCTCGCCTTCCGTTCTCGGCCACCTTCCACCCCTGGTGTCCCTGTCCCTCATTCATACCCCCGTGTGTTTCACAGCTGATGGTGTCGGAGCTGCATTTCCTCAGTGAGGCAGGCTTGACATCTGTTAGAGACACGCGGTGGCAGGCAGGCAGCAGCAGACAGGCAGTGGTAGCCATGGCCATGCTGACTGAGGATGCTCTGGGCCCCCTGATTGTGCCAAAGAAAGTGGACGTCAGGACACCAGGGAGCTGGGCCAGTGTCTTGCTAGGCCGGTGGCAGATGCCGGCAGCCTGGCCCAAGTGCCACTCCAGCAGCTGCTGGGACACCCCAGGGGGCTCTGTGCTGGTGGGAGGTCCCATCTGCAGTCTCTGTAGTCTGCCACCAGAGCCAGGAGCAGGTTTGGCCAGATAGCACTTCGGTTGATAGGCAGGGAGCCCCTGTCGGTGAAGCCTCTCCTTGGAGAGCGCTAAGTAGGCCTGGTCCTGTGAAGGAGGCCAGAGTGGAATAGTTCTGGGCTCTGCCGGGGAGGGACCAGCATAGCCAGAGGCCAGAAAGCAAGAGCAGGCAGAGGTCTGTGAGACCCTGGGCTGCAGCTCCAGGCTGGAGGGTAGAGTGCAGGGACCAGCTGAGGCTGGGGGCTCAGGGGCCGGGGCTTATCCTGTGTTTTGGGTCAGAAGCTTGACCCCACAGTTCCCTGAGAGCCACGAGTTGTAGGCCAGGGATTCAGAACTCTGAGGTATGGTTGAAGAGACACTGTCCTCCTGGTTGGATCCGTCCACCCCCCGTCTGTCAGTAACAGTGTGGTGACCTGTGTGGCTGTGGTGGTGGAAGCCACACCACCTGTTTTTCATGTGCCACCGGGTATGGTGACAGGCGGGAGGTGGGTGTCTGTGTGTGTGGAAGGCCCCAGGGGCAGTCTGCAGTAAGCCAGCCCGTTGCCAGAGGAAGGAGGGTATTTGTGTGCATGGAGTGCCCCAGGGGCAGGCAGGGAGACGAGGAAATGAGCAGAGCAGTTTGGAACAGCTAAGGGACACAAACTTGTCTGTCGGTTTGTCGTATGGTGGCTTGAGTGTTGCTATAAGGCTGGAGGCTATGCCCCAGAATTTCAAATGCCAGCAGAGTCACCCATGGTGTATGGGGAGCTTCCAGGTTAAGACAGACTTGGAAGAAGGAAGAGGGCATCCACTTCCCAAAGAGTTGGCCAGTGAAACTCTGAACAGCAGTGAAATGTTGTCTGATATATGACTGGAAAACCTTATGAATAGCCCTGAAGCACTGTCCAATACAGAGCCGGAAAATGAGCCGCTCGTGTCGGAAGGCACTCAAAATATGACTGGGGAAGAACCGCCTCCTCAGCGTGGAGTCAACCTCAGTGATGTGGATGCAGTAAAGCTTACAGGACCTCCAGGTGCTGATGTGGGACGACTCAGAATGGGGAGAAACACCTGCAGACATCCACTAATCATCGGAACATGGGATCCACAAAGTGTGAATCTAGGAAAATTGGAAGTTGTCAAAAGTGAAATGGAATGCATAAAGATCAGTATCCTAGGCAATAGTGAGCTGAAATGGACCGGTTTTGGCCATTTTGAATCAGAAGATCAAATGATCTACTATACCGGGAATGACAACTTGAAGAATGATGTGGCATTCATCATCACAAAGAATGTATCAAGATTTATCCTGAAGTACAATGCTTTCAGTGATAGAATTATATCCATACACCTACAGGGAAGACCAGTTAATACTACTGTTACTCAAATTTTTGCACCAACTACCAAGGCAAAAAATGAGGAAATTGAAGATTTTTACCAACTTCTGCTGCCTGAAATGGACAGAACATGCAATCAAGATGTGTTAATTATCACTGGTGATTGGAATGCAAAAGTTGGAAACAAAGAAGAATAATTGGTACTTGGAAAATATGGCCTTGGTGATAGAAACGACGCTGGAGATTGCATGATAAAATTTTGCAAGACCAACAACTTATTCATCGCAAATACCTTTTTTCAACAACACTAACGTCAGCTATACACGTGGACTTCTCCAGATGGAATACACAGGAATCAGATCCACTACATCTGTGGCAAGTGGCGATGGAGACGCTGAATGTCTTCAGCTGAATGTCTTCAGCCAAGGCTGGGAGCTGACTGTGGAACAGACCGTCAACTGCTCATATGCAAGTTCAACTTAAAGCTGAAGACAATTAAAAGAAGTCCATGAGAGCCAAAATATGACCTTGATTATATCCCTCCTGAATTTAAAGAGCATCTAAAGAATAGATTTATGAATTGAACACCAGTGACCAAAAACCAGAGGAATTGTGGGATGACATCAAGAACATCATCCATGAAGAAAGCAAAAGATCATTAAAAAGACAGGAGAGGAAGAAAAGACCAAAATGCATGTCAGAGGAGACTCTGAAACTTGCCCTTGAATGGAGAGTAACTAAACCAAATGGAAGAATTGACAAGATAAAAGAGCTTAACAGAAGATTTCAAAGAGCAGCTCGAGCCAACAAAGCCAGTTACTATAATGAAATGTGCAAAGACCTGGAGTTAGAGAACCAAAAGGGAAGAACACACTTGGCATTTCTCAAGCTGAAAGAACTGAGGAAAACATTTAGGCCTCGAGTTGCAATATTGAAAGATTCCGTGGGCAATGTGTTGAGTGATGCAGGAAACATCAAAAGAAGATGGATGGAATACACAGAGTCACTGTACCCAAAAGAACTGGTAGATCTTCATCCATTTCAGGAGGTGCCATATGATCAAGAACCAGTGGTACTGAAGGAAGAAGTCGAAGCTGCACTGAAGGAATTGGAGAAGAACAAGGCTCCAGGAATTGATGAAATACCCACTGAGATGTTTCAACAAACGGATGCCCCTCTGGAGGCACTCACGCAGTTATGCCAAGAGATTTGGAAGACAGCTACCTGGCCAAGTGACTGAAAGAGATCCATGTTTGTACCCATTCCCAAGAAAAGTGATCCCACAAAATGTGGAAATTATTTAACAATATCATTGATATCACACACAAGTAAAATCTTACTGAAGATAATTCCAAAATGGTTGTAGCAGTGTATTGACAGAGAACTTCCAGAGGTGCACGCTGGATATAGAAGGCGACGTGGAGTGAGGGATATCATTGCTGATGTCAAATGGATCTTAGCTCAAAGCAAAGAATACCAGAAACATGTTTACTTGTGTTTTATTGACTATGCAAAGGCATTTGGTTGTGTATAACAAATTGTGGATAACATTGAGAAAAATTGGAATTCCAGAATGCTTAATTGTACTCATGAGGAACCTGTACATAGACCAAAACAGGGGGATACTCCATGGTTTAAAATCAGGAAGGGAGTGTGTCAGGGTTGCATCCTTTCACCATACTTACTCAATCTGTATGCTGAGCAAATAATCCGAGCAGCTGGACTATATGAAGAAGCACGTGGCATCAGGATTGGAGGAAGACTCATTAACAACCTGCAATATGCAGATGACACAACTTTGCTTGCTGAGAGTGAGAATGACTTGAAGCACTTACTGATGAAGATTAAAGACAACAGCCTGCAATATGGATTGCACCTCAATATAAAGAAAACAAAAATCTTCACAGTGGGACCAGTAAGCAGCATCACAATAGATGGAGAAGATTGAAGTTGTCAAAGACTTCATATTACTTGGTTCTACAATCAACACTAATGGAAGCAGCAGTCAAGACATCACATGATGTGTTGCATTGGGCAAATCTGTTGCAAAAGACCTCTTTCAAGTGCTGGAAGAGCAAAGATAGCTCCTTGAAGAATAAGATGCGCCTGACGCAAGCCATGGTATTTTCAGTCGCCTTACATGCATGTGAGAGCCGGACAACAAATAAGGAAGACCAAAGAGTTGTGATGTTGTGATGTTGGTGAAGAATGCTGAAAGTACCGTGGACTGCCAGAAGAACTCACAAGTCTGTCCTGAAGGAAGTGCAGCCAGAATGCTTCATGGAACTGAGAATGGCCAGACTTCGTCTCACCGACTTTGGTCATGTTGTCAGAAGGGACCATTCTCTGGAGAAGGATGTCATGCTTGGTCCAGTGGAGAGTTGACGAAAGAGGGGAAGGCCCTCAACAAGGTGGATTGACACAGTGGCTGCAGCGATGGGCTGAGGTAGAGCAAAGATCATGGGGCTGGTATAGGACTGGGCAGTGTCTTGCTCTGTTGTACATGAGGTCACTTAGAGTTGGAGATGATGAGCCCGCACCTACAGTGTGGTGACAGGTTTCAACAGGGCTTCCAGAATAAAACTAGGAAGAAAAGCCTGCTTCCTTCTCTGTTTTTGGAAGTTAGCCAGTGAAAACACCCTGGGACCTGACAGGACATTGTCTGATGGGGAGCCGGAAGGTGAGCCCCTGGTGTGGAAACACCCACTGCCCTTGAGTCAGTTCAGGCTCACAGTGAGCCTGCCTGTCTTGGCCACTGGTGACAGCAACCGTGGAACTGGCTGGCTTTCCTCCCTGAGCAGCCTGTGCTCCTTCATAGAAACCACTGGTCCCAAGAGCTGCCTGGCCCTCCGCCCCCCTGTGGGGATAGGGGGCGGGGCTCATGAGGCCACACCCACACCCATGACCAGTGATCAGCCCGCCCACCGGTGGAGGTAGGGGGTGGAGCTCACAGCACCCTGCCCACACCTATGGCCTGTGATCCTCCCGCCTGTGGAGGTAGGAGGCGGGGCTCTCTGCTTGGTCCCAGGGCAGCCAGAGCCAGCCAAGCGGCTTCTTGGTCAGTCGTTGATCCCTGGTGGTCTGTGAGGCATTGTGGTGCCAGCAGGCCAGTCTACTCCTGTGGCTCCATTGCCGAGCCCAGCTGAGCTCCGGGGCTGAGGAGTGAAGACTGTCGAACCACAGCAGGAGCTCAGTGTCACTGGGGGCATGTCCCTGTCCCAGTCTCCACCCTCCATCCCTCAGCTCCACCACCAGACTGTGAGGGACGTCGGAGAGACACTGGATGCTGGGGGGACCCCCAACCTGAGGCACAGCGGCTGTGCCCGACACCCCTCACTCCCCAAGCGCTGGCTCGCAGCCCGCGGTGTGCCCCACCCCAAACTAAGCCGGGAGAGGTGGCTCTCAGCCGCCATCCCCTGTACCTGCCTGGGGCCAGCTGTGGCCACGTGGGTCCTGCGCTGGGTCCTTTCAGACCCGTGGCCCAGTGCGGTGGATTGGTGGCCTCTCGGCCCCTGGATCCTTCCCCAGAGGGAGCCGGGTACTCAGTGCAGTTTATGGGCCTCCTGGTGAAGTCTGGTTGCCAGGATCAGCTGGGCTCCTGGGTGAGTTGGCTCCGGCTGCGAGGTTCAGAGGCTCTTGGCCACAGCTGCCAGTCAGGCACCTGTGTGGCCCAGGCTGCGGCCCGCCACGTGGTGGGGGTCCGGTGCCAGCTGGGAGGCTTAGAGGCCACATGGGTGTGGGTCAGTGTGGCCGGGAGTGCGGTGAGGGGACAGGTGCCGGCCACTGAGGGGCCGGCCCCCACTTCTAGACAGCTGTGAGCTTGCTGTGCCCACTGGGGCACCCCGGAGCGCAGCAGCCCTGTTCCTGGAGCGTATGTGGGTGGCTGTGGGCCCCGGGACCTGACTGCACCTCTCTGTCCCCACAGTTCCGGAGGTCCTGCAGCTCAGTGATGGCCTGAGGGATGATGTCCTGCCCGAGCTTGGGGTCCGGCTGGAAGACCACGAAGGTGCCAGGAGTGCCTGGGGGTGTTTTGGGGTGCAGAGGGAGCTCCGTGTGAGGGTACATGCACTTCGTATAGATCCAGATTACTCATGTGCTGCCCCCAAGTGGAGGCCTGTCTGCCCAGAGGCCCCCCAGCCCACACCCCAGCTTACGACCAGGCCTCACCTGTGCCCCAAACATCCGGAGAACAAGTGTCTTCTGGGGGTTCAGCCCCTCAGGTCCTGAGTAGTGAGGCCCTCCACACATCAGAGGCTTCTCATTCAAGTGTTTAACCATTTGCTGCCCCTAGAATGAATTTTCATGTCATCAGGGAGGAAGGGACTGGCCTGCTCTCCTCAGGCAGCTGTCCATTTGCCCCGAGGCGGTGGTCTCTGAACCTCAGGTGCCTGGGTGCAGCTCTGGACCAGAGACAGCTGCCCATTTGCCCCGAGGCGGTGGTCTCTGAACCTCAGACGCCTGGGTGCAGCCCTGGACCAGAGAGTGTGAGTGGGCCCTGCTCAGAGGCTCCCTGTGACCTCAGCCTGGTCGAGCACCCCTTGTCGTTTAGGGCTCCCCACTGTGGTCAAGCTGGTGGACAGAGAGACCTTGCTGAAGGAGCGGGAGGAGAAGAGGAAGGTGAGTAAAGCTGACGGACTGCTGCCGGGTGTTTGTTGCAAAGGAAGAACGGTGGGGTTGAATGCTTTACGGTTTAACAGTCAGCAGAAACGCCAGAGAGCAGCATTCAGGTAGGGAAACGAGCTAGGCAGGTGACCGCTGGGTGATCGGGCCACAGAAAAAGGGGCATCTCTTACAAACACTCTGCCCTCGGTGTTAGTGGAAGTTCATGGCCATGAGTGACCTCTGGGCACATCTTCGGGCACCCTTCTCCCAGCTGAGCTGAGGCCGTAGGTCTTCTTAGTCTCCCCGACCTGCCCCTAGCCCCCTTTTCCCAGTGCACCCCTGAGTCCTCACCTCCTCCCTGCTTGGTTCCATTCTTCATTGGAGCCTCAGCTGAAATGTTCCTGTGCCGGGATCCCATGTCAGAGTGGTGCAAACGGTTACCCGCCGGCTGCTGACCGAGTGGAAGCGCTCAGTCCCCCCCAGGGGTGCCCCAGGAGAAAGCCTGCTGACGGGCGTCTGAAAACCCCGGGGAGGGCGGTTCTCCAGCACGTGTGGCACCGGAGTTGGCACTGACTGCACAGCAGCGGGGGCTCTAGGACCAGGGCTCTGGGCCCTGTTGTGAAGTGGGCACAGTCCCCACTCAGGACCGTAGCATCCAGTGGGGATAGGAAAACAGGTAGGCACACCCAGCCAGCGTCAGAGTGCCAGGTGCGGCCCTGGAAGGCACCGCACAGGACAAGGCAGCCAGCCAGAGCCCTGAACTGTCAGCCCCCGGCTTTGCCAGGGAACCCCCAAACCCTCTCTGGCTCCAGAACTTGGCAGGGCCCAGGCTCCAGTGTACAGCTAGTGTGGGACAGCCCCACCTGGCAGTGAGCCCCCAAAACCAGGCTGTCAGGGTGGTGATTCTCGGCTCCCCAACCAGGCTTCTCCTCACACCCAGTGACTCGGTCACAGCTAAGGCAGCCTCAGGGCCCCCTTCGCTGCCTGGCTGGGCTGCCAGCCTCCTGCCTTCTGTTATTAGCCTCCAAGGGGCTCGGTGGGTCCCTCGCCCTGGACTCAAGCCCTCACTCCCCTGGCCAACGTGCCCCAGCGCCTCAGACCAGAGCCCCTGCCCTGCTCACCCCTTCTCCGCGCGCAAGTCCTTCCTCCTTCCCTGGCCCCGTGACCGCTCAGTGATGGCCCCCCAGCCCCTAGCACAGCTGCCTTCTGAGGCTGCCTCATTGGCCAGTCAGTGCCCCTTAGTTTGTTCTGTCTGCAGCCGCCGCGTGTCCACAGAGCTGACGGGGTGGGGCCGCGCCCTGGCTGCTGCGGGCTCCCCTGGGCGGCCGGGCTTGTCTCCCTGTGGCCCCCGTGGCCCCCAGGTGCCAGGTCGTTCGTGGCCACGGCACAGGGGAAGGCTTGTTTGCTTCTGGAGCGGGGCCTCGAGCAGCCGTCCAGCTTGTCTCACTGTGCGCCTCATTGTGTTGCTCTCCAGGCGGAAGACGAGAGGAGGAGGAAGAAGGAGGAAGCTGCCCGGAGGAAACAGGAGCAGGAAGTAAAGCCACGGCGTGTCTGGGCGGGGGGCTGCGGGTGGAAACGCAGGCTGGGGTGCTCAGGGGGAGGGGGGACTCCAAAGTGGAAATGCAGGGTGGGGTGCTCCCAGGCAGAAACGCAGCCAGGGGGCCTGTGTCCTGTACCCCTTGGGCTCTGCTGGCCCCTCTGGGACAGAGGTTCTTGGGAAGAGTGGCTTTACTAGCTGCTCAACCCTCTGTGGGCACCCAGGCCCTCCCACGGTGTCCCGCGGGCACCAGGCCCTCCACACACCCTCCCACAGCATCCCGCGGCACCCAGACCCTCCATAGCCCTTCCACAGCGTCCCACGGGCACCCAGGCCCTGCCACAGCATCCTGCAGGCACGAGGCCCTCCATACACCCTCCCACAGCGTCCCACAGGCACCAGGCCCTCCACACACCCTCCCACAGTGTCCCATGGCACCCAGGCCCTCCACAGCCCTCCCACAGCGTCCCACGAGCACCCAGACCCTCCGCACACCCTCCCAGAGCGTCCCACGAGCACCCAGGCCCTCACCCCCTTCCACAGCACCCCGTGGGCACCAGGAGCCCAGGGTAAGGAAGGGTCCCAGAGTGGGAGGACTAGGTCTCTCTCTGAGTGTGCACGAGATGGAGACACTAGCCGTCATGTCCATGAGGACCTCTCTACGGCCCCGCTGTCCCTTAGGAGTCTGGCTTAGCTTAAATCACCTGGCAGAGGTCCTGCCTGAGGAGTTCTGACGGCACAGTGGGAAAGGCATTTGGTTGTTAATCAGAAACTCAGCAGTTCAAACCCACCAGCTGCTCCAAGGAGGGAAGATGGAGCGGTCTGCTGCCATAAAGATTGACAGCCTTGGAAACCCAGCAGGGTCGGGTTGCTCTGAGTCGGAATTGACCCGATGCCAGTGTTTGGTTTGGTGCAGGTTCTTCTCGCCTAGCCGGGCCCTCTCCTCACTCTCAGTGTCCCGAATGTGAAGGCTGGCAGTCGGTGGGGGGACTTGGCAGCGGAGGGTGTGAGGGCCATGTCTCTGGTGTGTTCCAGGCGGCCAAGCTGGCAAAGATGCGGATCCCGCCCAGTGAGATGTTCCTATCAGAGAGCGACAAATACTCCAAGTTTGATGACACGGTGAGAGCCACTTTTGTCCTTTAGGACTCCATGGGACTACAGATTGCGGCCCGGGAGCCCCAGCCCTGGCCAGGCACGGTCCCCTGGGACTGAGTCTTGCTGCGCCCAGGTGCAGCCCCAGAGCCGCGTGCAGAACATGCCTGGGCAGGTGACAGCATTGTTTGTCCTGGGTCCAGCCGGGTGCCCATTGGGAGCTAGCACCAGGAGACAGACCAGGGGAGATACGGGTGCTCTGTGTGGCCTGGTGGCCGTGGGGCTGATGGCCGTCCATACTGCCACCCTGTCCCCCCTCCTGGGGCTGACTCACTGTGGTTCACCGAGTCCCGTCTCTGTCCCGCCAGGGCCTGCCCACGCACGACACAGAAGGCAGGGAGCTCAGCAAAGGCCAGGCCAAGAAGCTGAAGAAGCTCTTTGAGGCCCAGGAGAAGCTGCACCAGGAGTTCTTGCAGATGGTACAGAACGCGAGTGTGCAGTGAGCGCCGGTGGGCACTCGCGGGCCGCGCCTCGGTGGTGACAGGCCCGTGTCACCGTGTTTACACTCATTCTCAAGCCCTAAGTTAAGAACCTGCCCCTGCAGACCTGCGACCCCCACAGCTCATGGATGTGGGTAATAAATTCTTCTAAACCTGAGGCCCGACCTCTGTGCCGTCCGCCCTGCTGGCTCAGCCTTCCATGGGGCCTGCGGCTGGCTCCACTGTGCAGGCAGTAGGTCACTGCAAGGGGGCCCAGAGCCCAGGCCCAGGGCCCCTCACCCACGCTGTTGGGGTCAGCTAATCCCTGGTGTCTGGACGCATTGGGAGCCGTTGTAGCAGGAAAATGACCGGCTCAGACTGCAGGGCCCGCTGGCGCCCCGAACAAAAGCTGCTCCCCCTGCTCCTCCCTGACTGTGGGCCAGCGTCCAGGTGGCAGCAGAGCGGCTCAGCACGCGGCCTGGCAAGCTGCCCAGGACCCTGTGAGCGCCAGCGGAGCCGGGCCAAGACGGGGCTGTGGGTTCCACCAGTCTGCCCACACCGTCACCTGGGGGTTACAAATCCAGCCTTGACTGACAGGGCGTGGCAGGAGTCCATGCCCGCGAGAGCTGGGGCCAGGCAGGACTCCCTGAGGACAAGGGTCCTGTCACCAGTGTGGCTGGGTCAGGAAGTACCAAGCGTGGAGGATGGCAGTGGACAGTGACATGACCTGGGTATGGTTGGTCATCTCTAGGTGGCTGCAGCTGTCTCTGTCCCCACCCCACTTTTAGGGTGCGGTCGTAGGACGCCAGCACACTTGTGCAAGTGTGAAAGGATGTGTGAGGAGCCAGAGAAGGAGGCCACCTCAGTGCCTGTGAGTGGGGACAGCTCAGCTCAGGGACAGCCCCACCGTGTACACACACACTGCTGTCGCTGTAGAAAACAGAAATTAAACCAGTAAGGACAAGTGTCCTAAGACGGTGAAACCGCCTCCGCCAGGGCCTGTGTAACAAACCCCACAACCGCATGCCTGAAAACTGATCTTGCTACTGTTGACTCTGGCAGGTCCTGCTCGGGGCCTCACAGGTGGTCACTGGCCTCTGATGCTGGGTCCCTGAAGGTGGTGCATCCCGCCCTGGTCTCTGGGTCCCTGAAGGCTGGCACACCCGCCTGGGTCCCTGGGTGCCTGTGGGCAGGTCCAGCCCAGGAAGCTTGGCTGCCCACGGCACTTCAGGAGC